GGTTGTGGCTTTTGTGCCCAGGATTCGTCTTTACAGTCATAAACTGATGTAGCAGTGCCAAGAGGAGTTTTTCCTATGGACTTATAGTGCTGTAAAGATAAGTTTTTAACTATTTGACTTTTTGTTACTAGGTATCTATTTACTGTTAACCCTCTTCATATGCATATGATAAGGTGAATACCTTTGTGATAATTTTTTTTTGATAATTTAATTATAAAATATTCGGGGAGGAAAAAGGGACACTTCATGTGTCATTAGTTTTAGTTACGATTTCAAGAGTCTGACCGAACTCACTTGTTGATTTAATATATATTTTTTTAATAGAATACATTTTTGATATAATACAATTTTGATTTTGGGAAGGGAAATAAATTTCATGTGGTTTTTTAAACAGTATATAAAGAGTATTGAAGACTCATTTTTGGATATAATATAATAATTGTAACAGAGTTATCATTGTTGATATCTGTACAATACAGTAATTATTTCTCATTTTAGTTGAACTAGCTAAATTTAAATTACTACCTTTTTGTGTTAAGACTTTGGCTACAATACGGACTATTCTTGTTGTATACTAATATTTCATATTTTATTTGGCCAGTGGTAGTGACTATTCGTTTGTTGAGGCTATTAGGTCCCATTGTATCTGTACACCATCCACTACCACTGTTATTTGGCTTTGCATTATATGTAAATTGTTTATACACATATACCTATATACATTTTTTATAAATATATTTATTGTTGCTATTTTGAGTTTTATTTCAGTTCTACTAACCAGTATATAACACAAAACAAGATTATTATTTAGTATTTTTGTATTTCAGAGTATTATCTCCAGATTCATTGTTACTTCAAAATCTCAACTATCGTTGAGTTGGCGCCCTTCTTTTCTCTTCTTATTGTTCTCTTTCCATAAATTTATTCCCAGTGACCTTCTTCAGTTGTATCACGTTTGATATTACCAGGTCTCATTTCTTTCTTGTCTCATTAGCTCATTATCTCTTGTTATTGTTGTTTATATCTTTAAAGCCATAATCCAGTGCATTGAAGCTAGCCCAACACTCACTTGAGATTTAGTGTCTCTTTGGCCATTTAAATTTGTTCCTCTGAGCTTAGCCCTATTTTAGTATTTTTTTTTTCATCACTTCTCTTTCAGTTCTTCTGGAATTTGGAAGTCTTACACTTCCAAAAACCCAATACTCCCGGAGTATTGAGCGTTTCAGTTGGAGTACCACTCTCACGAGTATAATATACTTAATGTACCGATTACAATGCAAGAACTCAAGGATGCCCTAATGTCAAGTAAAAATTCATAGGCCAAGACCTTCCATAAAAATGGAAGGTCTTGGCTATTAAAATTGTACAATTTATATTTGGACAAATCAGGTTTTTCCATCTGTATGGTCAGATAGCATTATAATTCCTCTGATCAAACCCAACAAAGACAGAACAAATATAGACTCGTACCGTCCTATATCACTCACTAATGTAGCATGCACAGTTAGAAAAAATTATAAACAAGAGACTGTTGTGGTACTTAGCACAAGAAAAACTTTAATTCCTCAGCAAAGTGGCTTCCGTCAAAATAGATCATGCGTAGACAACTTAGTAGATTTAGAGTCAGAGATACACGAAGGTTTTGCAAATAATCAAGAGACCATCACAGTATTCTTCGATATCACCAAGGCATACGACACGGTTTGGAGATTTAATATTATATCAAAATTACACAAATGGGGAATCAGGGGTAATATGCTAAGATTCATAGAAAACTTTCTTCAGTCAAAGAGCTTTCTCTGTTCGCGCCGATAATTCCACTTCATCAAAAAAAATTCAGAAAAACGGAACACCTCAGGGGTCAGTTATGAGCCCAACTCTTTTTCTCGTGCTATCAACGATATAAGGGTATACTATATGCCGACGATCTGTTTCTATTTGCAAAGGCAAGAATATGAGAATGATTCAAAAACACTTACAAGAATCTATTTATAAATTAGAGATATGGACAATGTCAGTAGGCGTGCAATCTCCCCACTAAAAACAAAATGCATGCTTTTCTCAAGAAGGCACCAACCACAGAGAACATCTTTAAAACTGTATGGCGAGCCGCTCAAATTCTCAGAAAAAATTAATTTTCTCGGAATGGTATTTGACCAAAAACTAAAATGGAAACAACATATTTTAGAAATATAAAAGTCTTGCCAAAATGGATTAAATGTAATGAAAACATTATCAAATAAAAAATGGGGATCCGACGAATCCACGTTATTAAATATTTATAAGTCACTCGTTAAATCAAAAATAGTTTTCTGGGGCTATTGTGTATGCCTCCGCTAAAAAACATATTACCAAGCAACTTAAAGTCATTCAGAACACAGAACTTCGCATTGCCATAGGTGCATTTAGAACCACACCAGTTAAGAATCTCCAATGCCTCACAGGAGAGCCACCTCTTAATCTACGAAGAAATTATTTATGCCTTTCGTATGCAGAATCAGTCGCCAGCAACAAATTCCACCCAGTATTTCAAAATGCATTTACGGACCGTTACCTAGAAGCTAATAACAAAAGTAGGTTCGATCCACCATTCTACGAAAGAGTTCGAAGAAATTTAAAAGATCTACAACTCCAAATTTCTGACCTCTTTCCTTCAAATGTAAAAACTCCACCTCCCTGGTTAATCATGATTCCCGAAATCAATACGACGCTACTCCAATATAAAAAATCAGATACATCACCTACTGTAATCCGACAGTCATGTTCAAAGGAACTCGAGAGTTACGGAGAAGCTTTTGCATTTATACAGATGCCTCCAAATCTGCAAATGACGTAGGAGCAGCATTTGTCACTCCATATTCCTCTTCCCAATTTAAATTAATGCCAGCCACTTCTATATACACAGCAGAATTACATGCAATATTACAAGACCTCATTCATATCAAAAGTACAAACCATTCTTCTTCCGTCATTATCACAGATTCTCTAAACTCCTCAACAACAATCGGTCAACTATATACTCAGAACCCTATAGCCTTACTTGTCAAGAAAGAACTTGCTGCCTTACAAGAATCTGGTTCAGAAGTCAAATTTATCTCACACGGGAATACAAGGTAATGAAAACGCAGACCTCCAAGCAAGAGAAGCTACCAAAAAAATGATCAAGCTATAATAGTATCAAAGACTATCTGCAGTGATATAAAACAGTTCGTTAAAGAAAAAGTGATTAGTGCGTGGCAAAATAAGTGGAACTTATCGGAATCTAAATTAAAAGAAATTAAATTGACAGTGAAACCTTGGCGCCTAGTAAACTTAAAAAGAGCTGACCAAGTCAAAATTTCTCGACTTCGATTAGGTCATACCAATATTACCTCATAAGCACCTAATAAGTAAAGAAGACATTCCATGTGTGATTACTGTCAAGTCAATATTACTGTTAAACATCTCCTAACAGAATGTGGAAAATATACAGTTAACAGACAAAATAACAATACTTCCAGTGACTTAAAAACAGTATTAGGTGAACATTTAAATACTAAAAACTTAATTAGATTTCTAAAAGAAACATCTTTATATAATTAATATAATGTATAACTAATGTCGCTAATGACCCAGGTGGTTGAAGCGACTATTATTAGTAAAAAAAAAAGTTCTGGAATTTTGTGCAGGATCCAAAAATTTTATAATATAACCAATGTTTCATTTAAAATAAAAAAGTTGGTATCATAGTAATTGATATATAAGATCAGTCAACATCTTGTATATAAAATAACAAATTTTTATTGGAAAAAATGCGCAAAAAGTATTTTTTTAAACTATTTTAAAAAATCTTTAATTTTTATTTGCTATTAAATTTTAGAGTTATTCTTATAATTTAAATATTATTAAATTTATCAAACGGGTTAAATAGATGGATTGAAGTAATTTTATTAATTTATAAACAAAATGTTCGCAACCAACAATACGCATAAACCTCATTGTGGATACAAATGACCTGCGCAAGTCTGCACAGAATAGTAGGTCAGGCTCTAGACACTAGTCCACCAGGTTGTAAATCCAACTTCTCATTATAACACAGCTTCTCTAGAGTTTCTTAAAATTGGTTTTAAAAATTTTAAGAGGAAAAATAAAACTCATGAGTAAATAATATATTAATACAAACAACTATTAATAACATTTGTATCATTTGGGTATATAATAAAAATTACAGTGAATCCAATATTTAAAAAATAATTTCATAGATAACATATTATGAACAACTAGAAACATTAAATATGATCACATTTTTAAAATAATACAACGAAAATTGGTTAACAATGCTAAAGTTCGAGTTGGACAATAGTATTTGATCAAGTGACTGAAGGTCGGACTTCTAATATGGTATAAAAATGTGAAATGTTGTAAATTGTACATAGAATATAAGTTGCATCAGATTGATAATTACTATTATAACGAAAGAGAGCAATAAAGAACATCGAAAACGTAAAAAATACAAATATATAGCATTTGAGATGTTGGTTGCCTTCAGTATTGAAAATAACGTAGTCATGGAATTTTATGAATACTGTATGCCACATAATTATCTCATTACATCAGAATAGGAACTGTATGTATATTCGATAATGGAAATTGAGAACTAGTCACTTGACTTATCAAATATTTCAGAGAAACATTCACAAAATGGAAATACTATAATAAAACCATATTTTTTATCTTTCTAGCTAAGTTAACAACATTTTTACTCAATAAAGCAGTATCCTCTTCTCCACTGCCTTTCTGCAGATTGGACATTCGGTCATTTGATCGCCGCACATCTGGCAGAGTCCATGTCCACACAAAAAGATCATATTCTTAAGTCTGTCGAGACAAACTGGGCACATCGTCTGAAAATAAAGGTCTACTATTAAGTAACTATGGGAAAAATATAGTTTTAGTAACATTTCGCACCAAATCTTGGATATATAAGTTGTTTTGTAAACAATAATGTATACATCACTTACCTGTTCCTTATGTCTTGTAACTGTTGTTGCAATTTCTGTATATCATTAGTACCAATGGTATCCCGTCCTCCATTGTTCATTATAGGCCCTTGTATCACCGGAATTTCACTCGTTGATGGTTTGCTTTCTTCTTCAACATCAGCCTCTACTTCGGAAATAGTACCCAGACCTCCTGCACATACAGCTATCGGTACCATTTGTTCGATTTGTGCTCTGCATGTCACACACTTCTTCATTATCTGCGAGCAGCTTTCACATGCGCACATATGGCTGCAAGGTTGAACAGGACTGATGATTTCTTGTCAGAACACACTAAACATTCTTCAATCTGAAAATGAAAGATATGGTTGTTTGAATTTGTTTGAATTTGAGATGTTTCACATAGATTTTCATTTTTAAGATTAGAAAAAGTGGCATATTTAAAGTAGGAAAGACTTTTGACTAAATGATTCACTTACCTTAGTTCTAGTGACGACAGATTCTCGACAAATGAGACATTTCTTAACTCTAGGTGCACACGCCGAGCAACAAGTGACGTGACTGCAAGGTTGGAAATAGAATGTCCCTCTTGGCATCTAACAAACCAAGCACTCTTCTAACGTCGAGTTACTGTTGGAGTTTTGAGTGTTCTGGTGGGATCCCATGTCCATTTCGCCGCTCTGTTTCTCTTTGTGGCATTTGGTCAGAGTCTTGCGCAGAGGTTGGGATCCGGGCACAAGTCAAGGGTGTTTGTCCTTTTTTGTTCTTTATGGTTAGATCAGCTCCATTACCTTTTGGAAGTATATGATAGTGATTAAGTAGTGAAAAATGAAAGGATAAAAAAAGATTTCAAATATGGGTATACACCAAAAACCATTTGTATAGTAGCCTTGTATTTCCGTGAGACTGTGCAAAAATATATGTATCTGTAATAAAATCATTCAACAAAAAGGTACTCTACTAGGAGTCTGTAAAATTATCAATGACTCAGACATATAATAATACAAAGTTTCCAGATTCCACTCGATCTTAACAATCAGACGTGCCTGGTATAATCTTTTAAAATATGAACCAGATATGAACAATCAACCAATTAAGTTTTCATCCAACTTATGATAAGTCCACGCGGACTAACGGCCAATGAAAACATCGGATATCGCTGTTATGACAAATCATAATGCATTATCTTTTGTCGGTAGACTGATTCATACTTGGGGTAAGATTATAGCAGTATTTGACTGAGCTTACGAAGTCATAAAATAAGGGATCAGGTTTCGATCGTCCAGTGCTGAAGGCACGGGACGGAGAACACTTAGGTAGGCAAATTTTTATAAGATTTTACACTTAGGTAGGCAAATTTTTATAAGATTTTATTTTTAAATTGCGGATATGACCAACAGATTTTTGGGAGACAAGAATATTTTTTAGTAAAATCATAACTGCTACAGCGTTCAGTTAAATTCAAATTTCAATAGTGAACCGCAAGTTAGTTTGGTAGTGACTTTTTTCAGTGTTCTTTATACGGAAAACATTTATATTTTACGTTTTTTTACTTTTTTTGATACGTTTTTACGTGATTATGTTTCTATACGTTTGATAATTTTAGAATATTGCGTCCGTGGTGCGATAATAATTATGTAGCTGAAGAGACAATGGAACCCTCTAATCGATTGGAAGATTTACAAAGGCGTGTAGTAAAACATAAGCGACATTTTCAATGCCTTTCTGATGATGCCAAACTATGTTTATACTAAAAAATGTTTATGAGGACTGTGTGCTGAATTGTCTAAATCAGATGCAATTGCAGAAACATGTTTTTAACCAGAGTGCCCAAAGCAACCTGCTACAAAATTACAGGAGAAACATCTTCTTCTAGATAGAAGAGAAAAGATTGTGGCAAACTCAGAAAAATAAAACCGCACTTAATTGAATCTATAACTAGAACAATATACCAAATGTATGCAGCTAATATTTTTCCAACTATCGAAAGCCTTCGAAGTGAATTAGTTCGAAAGGGCATTCCCTCGTGTTCAGCAACAACACTTCGATTATTTCTCTAAAGCCAATAATTTTAAGTACAAAACTATAGACAAGAGACAGACATTAATGGAAAGTACTAGAATAATTTCTTTAAGAAACAATTATATCAGACAGATAACTGAGTATCGAAAAATGAAACGAAATATTGTTTATTTAGATAAGACCTGGTATGATACTCATGACACCGTGAAAAAAAGTTGGACAAATAATATCAAAAAGTGTTTCAACTCATTACCGCCCAATAAAGAAAGAGGATTATAATTTTACACTGCGGTGGAGAAAATGGATGGGTCGACGATGCATTATTAATATCTGCAAAACAAATTAAAAACGAGTCTCTGGATTATCATGACGATATGGAAAGTTCAATTTTTGAATCATGGTTTGAAAAATCTCTTCTTCCGAAATTACTTAAAGATAGTGTGATTATCATGGACAACGCGTCATATCATTCAAGATTAATAAAAAAAACTCTAAATAATAGTTGGAATAAATTAAAAATTCAGGAAATTTTATTCACGGAAGATTTGTATTTTGAGACATCTTATATTAAAAAGCAATTGTTGGAGGTTGTTCATAGTAAACAGTATGAAAAGGAATATGTTGTTGACAACTGTGCTCATAGTAACGGGCATACTGTACTTAGACTGTCTCCTTATTATTGTACATTGAACCCAATAGAGTTAATATGGACTCAACTTAAAGGAAATATAATGAGAAGAAACGTTGGTTGCTCCAAAATTTTTTGTCTACTGTTCTGCAGTTAATTAGAAGAGAAGTCACAAAAATTACAGCAACCAATTGGAAAAATGTAATTAAACATGTGATCGGAGTGGAATGACTATGTTAAATATTTACCAGCATTAACCAAATTACCTATAAATTTAGATGATACGAGTGATACTAGTGATAACAGTGATTCTGACTAGATAGTAAGTACTTATTAGGTGTTAGTTGAAACCTTTATTTCTATTTTAATTGTAGATATTCTCATTTTGCTTATATATGTTTGAAAACAAGGTATAAACACTTCTTAAAAGGACAAAAATTATTAATGTTTTAGGGGAGTATGTCAACTGAAACTGTCACTGTCATTATCGCTGAATAACTACTATTATTAACAATGTTTTATATAGGTAGATATTATTATTTTACAATAAGTTCTGTTCAGTCGAGTTGATTAGTGTTATCACTCCCAAGATATATCACAGAAGTTAAAAACACTGATATTTTTTATTTAAACTTTATAGAAAATGAAACTTTTTGGTAAATAAAATTAAATAAAAGTAAAAATTTTTATTTAATTTAAAATTAGATATCTACGCTACTGTTCTACTACTATGTACTACAATAAAATAGTGGTAACTCTAACAGCATTGCCATTTTACTAGTATTTTGCTTGCTTTCGTTCCTGTAAATTTTCTCACGAAATTACGTGCCAACTATACAATTATTACATATTTACATTGAAAATGTGGAAAATAAAATAAGCTTTTAGTAATAAATTATAAGCCTCAGATGGCCAGAAAATACGAAAAAAGTCTCAAAAAATAATAAAAAAACTCAGATTATAAGGAATTTCTATGCAATTGTCAAAAATATACTAAAAGCAACAATTCTTTTCATAGTAAAAGCAAATACTGAAAACTGTCCAAACTAGTTAAAGAAATATTTTATTCACATTTAGAACAGAATATAAGTATAAATAAATTTTTTAAAACAACAATTTCCATTAATAACAATAACAATCCAACCAATAACAACAAAACAACACAAACTCTTACCTGCCAAGAAACAAGCTATGCTTGCTGATGACTTTTTGTCTGATCCTTGTGTTCCCAGCCCATAAGCAGTTTCCCCACATCCTGGACATCTTGTAGCTGACGTAGTTGCGAGAGAGTGTGGTGACGTAAGGCTTCATGTAGAGGAGTGTCCCCATCTTTATCAGCCACATTCAAATTAGCTCCTTCCCTCACTAACAGCTAAAATTAATAATTTTGCTCAGTGAAAAAAAAAAAACTACTGTAAATGTTAATTTGCTGTAATTAAAAAAAAAGCTTAGTTACAAAACTCTGAACATAATGCTGTTGAATACATTAAAATATATATATCCGGTTTTTTTAGGCGTTACGCCCGTCCGGTAGGGATCTATGGAGGAGTATCACCAAGCTGCAAGCCCTTATCTCTTGCCGTACTGCTCCACCATAGGCGATCAGATCCCAGCATATCCTAGTCTAAGCTGCAGATTCATCTAGAATTTTAAACTGCTGCGTTAGAACTTTTTGTTTTCAGTACACCGAGCTGGGGCTCGAACCAACATCCACTGAACCATTCCACAGTGAAGCGAAATGAGAGGCAGCCGCACAGCCTGCTGAGCTATCTGACCGACATACATTAAAATAAAATAGGAAAAAAGGAAAATCAATAAAAAAACTGGAGAATCTGGTAAAAAGAACAAAAAAAAATTAATGGACAGGACCGAAGGTATACAGATTGGAAATAAGGTAATCTAAGGAATAGCTCAACTTACCCTGACAATTTGAGTGTGTTGTCTTTCCACGGCAAGATGAAGCGCAGTCTGCAAGTTAACATTCTGTAGATCCATATTGGCTTTTCCATTCAACACTAACTGTTCAGCTACTTCCACATGGTTGTTTAAAAGCAGCTAAGTGGAGAGCAGTGTATCCATCGTCCCTTCTTCTCATCTACTATCCAGGGCCTTGGAAGTTTTGCTAGCAAAATTTTCATTGCACTACATAACAGGCAGAAACAAGCAATTAAAAACTATAGTAAATAAGTCAGTTTGGACGATAATTACCTTTGGAGATGTGGAACTGTCAAATTTATCTAGAACATACAAATATTCTGAAAAGAAAACATTAGAAACATGCAATTAAACCCATTTTGTTTGTGTGTGGACCTTACATTTTTAAAATCAAGTTATAGGTTTGAATATAAATGTTTTGAACCAAAAATGTACTCTTTTCCACACCACCCATGAGGTAGAGTACTAGGCGCACTTTTTTTAATGTGGTGTCCCCAGGAGGCATAATCCACATTTGGCTCTACTTACTAACAGTATTATTAATTTATCACTTATCAGTGGAAAAAAAGCAAATATGGAAGAAACAGCAATGTACAAAAGAAATGTTATATATTAATAGTAATGTTATATAGTAAATACTTACTGTTAAGACGGAAACTTAAGCTGTGAGAT